TACTGCTACTGCTACTGCTGCTACCTGCTACTGCCACGGGTAATGGTAGCTACTGTTACTGGTATTGCTACTTCTACTGCTACTTCTACTGCTCGTACTCTCGCACTCCTTCTACAAGTACTGCTAATGCTGCTGCTACATATCCATTACCAGCAACGTCATACAACAACCCTTTGTGCTTTTGCAATCGCCGTTACTGTTACTGCTTGTCAGGCCATCTACCTAAAAATCGAAATCTGCGACGAATGCTGAAGCCAACATAACTACTTCTTCTATTTTCCTCTCCTCCTCCTCCTTGGCCTCCTCCGTATTTGCTGTTGACATACGAAGATTACGGCGAGATACCACTGGCTTGTCTAAATTGGAATAGCGGAAGCCTGCAAACTCCCAGCATGCCAGGCACCTCGGGCATCTGTGCCAGAAGCTGTGCTGCCTGCCGCGGCCTGATACATAAGGAAAACGACATACAACAAAACATATAAAAAATGAACACACTGCGACGATAACACTGACGACAGGAAATCACAGCTTGGACGACACCAAAATCAAGACCACTACTACTACAGCGACGACGCAATTAGCATCGTCGCGGTATCAGAATGGGTCTTTGCGTTTCGCCTGCCAGCACTGGCTAGCACCACGACATGTTTCCGTTGTTGCTCGCTTGTTGATTGCATGACCACGCTTTGATGCGTTCTGTTATTGCAGTGTCAGAAGCAACTCCAAAAAAGATGCATGTTTCAGCCGACTCATGCATAAGCATGGAACCCAGAATAATCCTAGACGGCCTGCACAGGCCCCCAACAGCTTTGGTCTCCGAGGCCGACGCACGCCAGGGCCGTCGAGGCTCCTGCCCAGCCGCTCTGACAACTGCTTGGCCTGGTGAAAGCAGGAAATCGGAGGGCTCAGGGTTCGGCAACCAGGGGATTCTCTAAGGGTTACCTTAGTAGGGGCTTTGGGGTTTTGAACGGGCTTCGGAGGAATCCTTCAGAGTTTAGGGCTTTTTGTAAGGCTTGGGGATTGGAGTTCAGAGCCCGGGGTTTGGGCTTAGGGCTTGTGTTTTTGGGGAGTTTCAGAAGCTAGGGGTGCCTGATTTTGGGTCATTCAGGGATCTTTATTGGGTAACCCGGGTAACCTTATTTTCTGAAAATCCCACAGGAGAACATGCTCCAGGCCGCAGAACGAAATTGCAAAGGTTCACGGGAATGCAGGCAGTGTCTTGTGGGCTTTGTTGTTGAAGACTCTTCTCTGTCTACGCGTCGCCACTCGACATGAGATCCGGGGTCTTGGTGGTTAGGTTACGAAAGTCTGAGATGCATAAGGAATGGAATAATTAGACCATAACTCCCATAGTTTTAGGGCCCTTCAGGTGTAGAGGATCGGTTTAGGGCTCAGTGCCCACGGAGCCTGCAGGTAGAGCCGGTCCAAAGACAGGGACCTGGCCGTCGCTTCTGGGTCGCTTGGGCGACACAACCGGGCTTGCTTCGAAATCCGAGCACCATTCCAAGCTCACCAACAGCACAAACCATACGGGAGTTTCCGAAAATTAGGGGTACCTTATTTGGGGTCCTTATAATAAGGATCCTACTATTTGGGGTACTATATTAGGGACCCAACCCCCCATATCTTGATCGCTGAATCTCCACGAGGCAGATGCATCTACGGAGCGGCAGACATGCAAATTGCGATCGCCTTTGGCCTCGAGTTCTGGGAACTCCGTACGAAGGGTTGCAGTCGCAGCAGCAGGGGCAGTTGCTGGCTCGTAGCAGGAGGAGTTTTCAGTCAACGCTCGGCCGTGGCGCATCGACTCCGGCGGCTCGAAATCGGGCATGGCCGTGGCATGGAACCTCAGAACACTCAGGCTGGGCACAAGCAGCACGGCACAGCGAGCAAGAAACAACATGAAACGGACAACAGCAACGGGGCAGCAACGCATCATCACTATGGTGTATGTTCAACTTTGCTTTCATTGAAGTCGTCACGATTATTAGGTGGTAACTACGGTAACCGCTTGTATCATGATGATGGCAGCTACAAGTAGTATGGCGAGCTATTCGTCTTCTTACCGTCGCTACTGCAGGGTGGACCCCTGAGGCACCGTGCTGCTTCGGATAAAGCCGCAGGCAGATCCCAGGCTGAGTCCGCCCAGCGCGCCTGACACTTTCGTGAGACACACGCAGCACACTATACAGATGTGTCTCTCTATGCATGCATGCATGAAATTCATGCATGCATTAACTGCCGTCGTAATGAACGTCGAAACCTATAGCACCTGCAGGTGGACATACCGGACATGCGCAGCTTACTTACCTACCTAAGTACCTACACACACCTACCAACTGCTTGTTCTGATTCTAATCTTGTCTCCCTACCTACCTACCTACCTACCTACCTACCTACCTACCTACCTACCTACTACCTGCCCACGTCTGGTGATGCGACGCTTTCATCGCTTTCTCAGCAAGAAAGTTCGAATGCTTTCATTTGCTTCATCCGCGCTGTAATTACACGCGGCAACAAACCAAGCACACAGTGCCGCCGTGCGAGAGCTACAACTGGCAGATCCTGCGTCCTGAGGTATTGCAATTGCGGCAAGTCAACCGAAGCACCTGCGTTGAAAAACTCTTCTGCAAGGCTTTCGGCAAAAACTTCAAGCTCGGCATCCAACCCACTTCGCTGAGTAGCCGCAGCCTTGGAGATCCTCAGGCCGTCGTAACGTTTAGGAGTTCTGAGGCTAGGGCTAGGGGTTATATAGGGTTTAGGGTTTCGGGTTTAGGAGCTTAGAAACTTAGAGGTTTACCGAACACACGGGCCGAGGCAGAGTTGGACATGCGCCCTTCCAAACTGCCTCTTGCTACGAATGCAAGAGAACCTTTGCCCTCAAAGGACTCATAGTTTAACGCTCTTGGGCCCAACGACCCTATTAAAGAAGCCTGTTGGCCTGTTTCGATGCTGAAGGGAAGAGTTCCGGCTGCTAGTGGCTCTGGCTTTGTTCAACGTCTCCCACCAGATTGGAAGGCGCCAAGAATGAATATGGACCGAAAGTAAAATCATCAGCGTCATTGTTGGAGGGCGGCGACTCGTAACAACATAGTCGTGATGGCTTCAGCACTGGACAATTCTGGGCAAACCAAGGCAAGGATGTGTCATAGCCTCCACTGCCCGGATTTGGGGACATCGTCCGGTCCCAACGCTGGAAACCCGGAGCCGGGGCCAGCGACCACTTGGTGGCCAGGGAAGCAATGCCCTTCGTCGCATCGTGGTCCATGCCTGCATTCAGTCGTCTCTATCCAAACTATACGGGATCCCTCCCAATCCGAGTGCAGCCACACTCCATGCTCCATGCATGCTGCATAACACACAAATCCAAGCCCCATACGCCGATGGAGGCCCAAGTCGATCACAGCCACGACCTTGCGGAGGCATCACGGCGTGCTGGGACAGTCCTAGGTCCCGGGCAGCCGGAGTAAGATGCTCGGGGCTAACTCATGTCGTAGCCCCCTAAAGGATTTGAACATTTCAAAACCGGGTGCTGCAAGCAACCTTCTAAATAAACTCAATGGCTTCGACAACCCGGCACATGACGGAAAACGCATGTGCTGGAATCTTGGTCGCTCCTCCCACTACAGTACGTCATAAGAAAGCATGGGATGTAGAAACTGAGAATCTGGGACTGGCTCACTGCCACAAAGCTACTAGCAAGACTGCAATAATTTATAAAACAAAAAGTGTACCCCGGCCGACGGTCTCAGGCGACGCTTTAACGGTGCCACTGTTTCAGGCTCTGGGCCTTAGAACCCCAACTTGCCCACGGCCGCAGTAAGGGCCTAGCAGTCTTAATAGGGGCTTGGGATGACAAAGCTTCAAAAAGGAACTACAAAGGGAATGACCTAACGGCGCCTCTCCGGGGCCGGGCCGAGACTTGAGGAAGCCGGCTCTTATCGAGGCGACGCTGGGGCGAAATCGCCGAAAGAGAGAGGTGCTAGGTGCTACGACGACGACGACTATGAGATATCATGAGATGCCGTGCTCGCGGACTTTTGCTCCTCGCCACACGAAGAGTCCTTGGGGCAGAAAGACACGCAGAAACCGATGCGGTGCAAGCAGTAGGAGCAGAAGCTCTATTTCCGGTAGACGCCAAACTCCAGGACTCCGGGACGCCGGCAACTTACACAACAAAAGCGCACCCAACACCTGAATCAGCCGTTCCAGCGTCCTCTTCTGCTTCTCGATGACCATCATGCGCGCAGCACTCGTGGCATCGGGATTGTCTAGCCTCAGGCCGGCCATAAGGCCTTATCATATGGCACATCTTGGAAAGGCATGAGCTCCGGCTTTTGGACACTTTAATGGTGAGGAGCTGGCAGATGGATGCATGCAGATGCCGCCACCATGACCACCATCACCACCACTACTCGCCACTACTACTATCCATCGATCTGCGGCCATGCATGCCAGGGACAGGTTATCAAGTGTCTGAGGCTGGAGGCGGCTGTAGCCAGAACAGAGCTGCAGCCGAATATCCCGTCTCCGTTCGTTCGTTCTGTCCACTGCGTGAAGGTCGAAGTGGCAACGACTCATGCCCTCGACCGCAGAAAGTGGCAGCACTTCTGAATCTGCGCGCTTGCTTAGGCAGTTGGATCTTGACAGCACCCAGTTTTAGCCTGCACCTGCACCTCCTTGCGTGCTCCTTCTCCTGCTACTGCTCCTGGTACTGCCACTACTACTGCTCCTGCAAGTACTCCCAAAACCCCAGCACGACGGCGACGAGTGCTCCATAGTGCGTGATGCTGATTGATACTTGGGCTCTCTTAGCAACCCTAAAGCACCACTCTCACCAACCCTGGCCAATTTCAACCGCGGCTCTGCTCCCGTTGCGTCAGGGCCAAGGGTCGGCAGACCATTTTTGCGGAATACGGCAATCGCGTGCCTGCAGAGCTGAGCTTCCAGGAAGCATCTCTACATGTGCCATGCACGCGTGGTGCGAGGCAGCCATCGGAGTTCCGGACACTTGCAAGGACCAGGGTGCAAGCAAGCTGAGAAGGCCTGCCAGAGGATAAAGCTTCGATAGCGTCTCGTCATCTGCATCAACAGCGGTGTTGTCCGGAGGTTCGTCATACTCAGATAAGACACCGTTGACAACGCTCCTGAGACAGGGTCGGTCTTGGAATCGCAGGTAAGGAGTTAATCTTGAGACTGCCAATGCTCGGTAAGCTCTAGGATTTGGGAAATAAGTATTCTGTGATTTGGCTGTGGTTCGGGTCTCTGATTTTGCTATGATTCCCTTACCATTTGTGATTCTCTCTGCGATTTGGCTGTGATTTGTCACTGACTCGTCTGTGTTTTAAGGCTGCAATTGGTCCGTGATTCGGCTGTGATTCGGGAACCCGTCTCCACAGCCAATCACAGCCAGATCACAGCGCGGAGCTGGGATCCGTCCTGGATCCCTGGCCCCTATGATTTATTGGCTGCGATTCGTCTGTGATTTTGCTGTGATTTGGATATGATTCGGGAACCCGCCTCCGCGGCCACATCACAGAAAAATCGCAGAAGAATTACAGCCAAATCACATTCAAAACATAGGAAAATCACAGCAACTGCACAACAAAAAACAGCAAAATCACAGTCGAATCACAAGCAGATATTGAAATCACAGCGAAATCACAGCAAAACCACAGATATGGATCACAGGAAAATCACAGCAGAATCACAGAAACAGTGATCTCCAAAAATCCTAGAGGTTGCCGGAGCAAGCAATGTCAAAGTTACTCTTGCTTCATGACAGTACTGACATGCTCGCTGCATGGCAGCTCCGTGCTCGCATCGCCACACCGCCTGCCGAGTCTCCGATCGAAAAATCCTTGGCAGATGACCAAACAGCGGCCGCCGATAACCAAGGAGTCCAGAGCGGCTCGCAACGCCTGTGCCGTGTCCTGCGGTGCTCGAATTTAGGGGAACCCCTCTTGCTACAGCCTTCTTTTGGGGTCCTTGTAATAGGGATCCTATTATTTAGGGTACTATATTAGGGTCCCTATTTAGTAAGATCCGGCCCGATCCTCCGTCTCGTTGTTGATGATGCGCCTGAGGCCGGCCAGCACCACTGAGATGGATCCGGCATCGCGGTCGCGGCCATCCTCCAGACATGGAGTGGTCTCGTAGCTCGTCGCTGCTTGAAAGGCATTCCAGGCTAGTCTCACCAACATCATAACATGCTCATAGGAGATAGAGGGACAACACCTCTACTTAGCCCGGACCCCGGACCCCATCTCCTTCGGCAGCAGCAGCCGCTGCGTGAGGGTCAGGACCTGGTCACTTGCAAGGTGAGCATCATAAACAGCTACGAGAGCGCCCACCCAAAAGGCTCGCAGATAAGGCGGGTGTGGCGGCACTCGCCTGATTGATGGTGGTAAGGCCGCCGACACGGCGATGCTCGGAGAGCAGCTCAAAGGCGATGCGGTCACACATCCTCCAGCTGCAGCGTTGAGGTCCAGCTATGCCGCCAAAGTCCCAGATATGTCACCAACAGAAAGCACGTCGAAGTTACGGGGGGGGGGAGTCTGTGGCATGCTTGCTGCCTGGTTCGGCTGGTAAGGCTTGCTCTGAAAATTTGGATCTGCACCATGCCGAAGAGCATGTGCTGTGAGGTGGTATATATGCTCATGGCTCGCATATGCAGCAATGTCACCGAACTCGTGACAGCATCCTTCCGCAGAACTCAAGACCGCACTCACCCTGCGTGAGCCCTTGACCCTTAGCCCCTCCAACCCCACACCGACGACCCTCAACTCTCAATCCCAGCCCTTACCCAAACTCGCGACCGAGGCTCACCTCCGAAAACCGGATGGTGTCCCGCAGCAACAGAGACAGCTCTTCAAAGCTTACAGTGTTCAGCCACTCAGAGCACGGCATGCCGGCCTACAGAGGTGGAGGCTTCGACATGCTTCGACAACACGACATGATAGGACATGTCTGGGGTTTGAAGGGCAGAAGCCTTTGAAGCTTTGTTCCCCCGACCGAGCCTCAACAGCATGGTCAAAGACATGCCTTAACAACAGTTCTAGAAATGCTACGATCAGGAAGACGAGTGCTGATCCCAGAGCGCTTTGTCCATTCGGCACGAAAGATCAAAGCCCTCATTTCAGCCCTCGCGCTCCTCTGCAAGTCATGAGGCCTTCCCGCCATAGCAACCCTGAACCCCGGATGAAACAGAAACACCCCGACAGGCAACAAATGCTCTGCACACTCAAAGCGGCCCGTTTTCAAGGCCTCGCGGTCATAGCGAAGATCCAGCGGCCCTCGCTTAATTCCCCGCCTTACATCGTGCATCCAAGTTGGGAGTCGGAAGAAAGTGGCAACGACGATGATGGTAGCCACACCATTGGCAACGACGATAACAGCAGCAGCAACTGCAGTGGCCAAGGAAACAAGCTCGCCTGTGTTGTAGTCTTAGCAGCATAAGAGAGTGGCACGTTCTACATCACCATTGCTTCGACTACAGGTGCTGTCAGTCAGAACTTTTTATAATCCAGGAGGGATTGCTGACAAATACCATTCACCCAAACAGAAGCGAAATGCTGGAGTTGTCAGAAGTCCATGGACAACGGGACAGCCCCAGGGCCGCGGCGTAGCATCCAGCTTCGAGTCGGTGGTGAAGCCACCGTTGATGAGGACGCCTTGCACCTAGAGGTCAGGGTATGTAGGTTGTCGTGTAGGGGGAGTCTACAGTATTGAGTCTTTTGAACCTCATTCGACCTCATGTCCGATGAACGACGGAACATCCGAGACGAGGCCACCGCGCGGTTATCCGTACGAGAGCTGATCAGAACAGCAAAGTCTGATCTCAACCCTTTACTGACAATCCTCCAGAGGCAAGATGCCTTCCGAAAAACGCGATATCCGTTTCTGAGGCCAAGACCCGCACATCGCCCAGCACGGCAGCAAGCTGCGCGAAGGAGGCTTTGTGCACTTTCAGGCGCGGGTCTCTGCGTGCCAGGCGCCTGGCCACGCCGATGGCCTGGCGGTCCACGTCCAGCGCGTAGAGCGTCGAGGACTCCGTCAAGTCCCGCAGCAAAGCCCTGGAGTGGCCTCCACGGCCGAAGGTGCAGTCCACGTAAGTGCCGTTGATCCGAGGATACGCGGGCTGGCCGACCTGGACGTCCCGAAAATGCTGCAGCACGGACATCAAGAAGAGCGGCCGGTGGCCAGCAGAGGCGCCTTCGTTGAGTGCCATCCTGGAACCCAGAAACACCGATTCTCTACTCTTTACTCTCGATCTCTTCTTCACGAAAGCTTCGGGAAAAAACAATAAATTTTCTCTCTCCCTCCACCGGCTGTTGATGTGCTGGATTCTGACGGAAGGTAAACCCTAAACAAACTAAACAAATTCGGGACTCTTCCTCCCTACCCCTGCCCTGTGCCTCACTTTGTTACAACAGCCTCGCTTTCGTCAGGTGGGAGTAGTCTTCTTCAACTCACGCACCTCTCTCTGTCTCGCTCTGGCCTGTGGTCAGCTTGCAGCCCATCGCGAATCGCCTCCATCTCGCCGAGATCGTCCACCCACTCCCCGGAATACTGGTCAGCCATCGGGTCCCGCAGAGGGGCAAGCTGCTTCAATATGCTTTTGGAAGGCACCGCGAAGCCTCGAAAAGCGTGGTGGTACGAACAACTCTTGGAATAGAACGCTTCTTGCACGCTCCCTCTCCCTCTCTCACACTCCATGGTGCCTGGCCCACAGAACAGGCGAAGCACGAACGCTGGCACCCAAAGTCTCCGCCAACATGGCATGATATGGCATGTGGGCGGCTACAAGTCTCAACTTCTCGTCTTTGGAGAGAGTTGAGCTCTGCACTTTCAAAGGGGACTGTGACTCAAAGTTCGCATCGCAGGTGCTGTAGTCTTGGCAGGAGCTGGCCAAAGAGGAGGTCTGGCTATGCTGCGAGCCAAAGGCAGGGAAGCGGCGTGTGAGCGCCCCGCAACTCATCCTCCATGGCTTCTCTAGCTTGCCGTTTTCAAAGATCCTCACGCAGCATGTGACGAGCTGTTACCAGGTCGTCTTTGGAGGAGATGCTGACGTCACTGGATTGTGGGCTGGTCTTCTGTTTTGTTTGACCCCTCTTTTCCATCTGCCAGTTTCCCTTTAGTCAGAATGGTGGGCTGGTCTGGGGCTGAGGGTTTGAGAGGGCATTCGGTTTTGGTGCACCTCGTGTGCCCGAGAACTCCAGAAGCACGTGATCCATGCAGGTGAAGCTCCTGCTGCAATCACCGGGGCCCCGAGCGTGGGGCAAGGTGATGGACGACTCGGCGATGTCCGTGGCCAGGACCACCTCTTAGAAGCTCTGTCGGACCCGCTCGCCCAAAGAAGCAGCTGTGCGAAGGAGAAGACGAACAGGAACAAGCACATTGAGTCATTGAGGATACCGCGTGGGTAACGTCGGGGTCTGGCTCCTCGAACACGAGCTCCTCACCGACAGGCTTTTAGGTCCGGCTTGTGGGACTCAGGATCTGATCAAAAGAGGTCGTCAGAAAATCTGTCAAAGGGTCCGTCGTGAAGGGTTGATCTGAAATGAGAGCCTGCTTGGGGAACCTCTCTATCCCCGGGTCCCTCCTCCAAAGGCAGGCATTCGTGCTGTCAGGAACAAAGAAAACATCGATACAACAACCCTGTGCTTCAACCAAACACTCAAAGCATGTATCTTTTCCTATGACTCGAGCCATCGCTTCGATCCTAAAGCACTGTTCCCTTGCAGTCTTACAGGTACTGCCGCAGCACTACTCTGCTACCAGAACCACACAGGGTCCCTGCCCTCTCCCCCGGGCTTGGGGGCTTCCTGCTCTTCTCGGGGCACCATGGAGTGCAGCGGGAAGATCTTGAAGCGATTGGACTCTTCCAGGAACTTTGCTTCCTGCACTGTCTCTTCGTGGCTTCGGGATCAGGGCAATTTGGGTTTGGGGTCCTGTTCATTCTGGCGTTGTTGCAAGTCTGCACTCGGCACAGCAGTCTGCTTCCCTAGGCCTGCCACAAGGAGGAGATCTCAGCGATGCCCGGCAAGAACACCAGGATGGTGCTGGCCTGAGGCCAACTTCGAACATGATTCTTAGAGTGGAAGAAGAGGTCCCTTTGTGTTTGCACAGTATGCCCTCGGAAGCCCTGTACCATCCTGTACCGCTGCACTTGCTTGACATGCGAGCGCCACGAAGTTCCCGGGTCCCCGTACCGGCTTGGCAATCACCTCCAGCAGCTCCAGGATTATCGGATGCAACTTGTCACCTCGGCTCTTGTTGTCTTATTGGAGCCGAAGCAAAAGCTACTTCGAACTTCAATGGAGAGTTTCTCTTTTGAGCTCACAGGCCTTTCGCACCGTGAGGGGGAGATCCCAACTCAAGCTTCCATGATAATAACCTGGCTTTCGGCGGCACTGCAATGTAACGCCCGAACCCGAAGCGGTGTGAGGCGTCCAAGCTCGAAATGATCAAGAGGGTCTCGTGAAGAGGCGAGGGTTGAGGGTCACTCCGGGAAGCCGGCAATGTCTCTGGTCAATCCGTTTTGCCTTCTTCTCCCTGCCGTCACCGAACATGTCCTGCGCAACTTGCCGAGTGCGTCTCTTCAAGCAGTTGAGGATGCAGGATTTCGGAGCATTACGAGGAGGAGAATTGTTGGTGGTGCTGCTTGAAAGTTTGGTGATGGTCGTGGTGGTGTTGGTGATGATGATGAAGAAGAAGAAGACTAATAAGATGAGGATGAAAACGACAATGATGATGAAGATGATGATAACATGGGGTTGGGGTCAGAGCTGAGGCCTTCAAGCGTTAAAGTGCGGCAAGCCCAGAAAACACCTCGGAGCCTGTAGCCTTCACCCGGTATGGTCCTTTGCCCGGCTGTTGATGATGCCCTCACACCGCAGCCGCTTTCCCAATGACCGGGACAGCTCCTTGGCGCACAGAACCACACTATTGCAACCTGATGAGGTGCTTACAACACAAATTTATGCCCCTATTGAAAAATGACACAAAACACAAAACAAACAATGCCACGGCCGAAGCTCGTCCAGGTAATGTTCCTTCACTGGAAAGCACCGGCTGCCTACATGAACACGGCCCACGGGGTAATTGCAAATATCGCCAAAGTAGTTCGCGAAGAGGTCCGATTGGAGCGTCGCAGACCTGAGGGAAAGGACACAAAGGACGATGGCAAATCGCTGGCAGGTCAGTGGTGCGAAGATCAAAGGCCCGTGCATGATGACGAGCCGCGTGCCCTCGAAACGATGCTTCGCTAGAAGGCGAACCACAAGGCACAGCATGTCGCTCTCTGCACCTGAGCATTCCGCATGAATGCTGTGGGAACCGCGACACCATCTGAGAACTGTCTTGCTGCTTCACCTCGGACCTCGCTGACACGTGTGCTGCTGAGGCCGACACTTCGCTCGTGCACCTCATCGAGGACGATGTGGGTGTATTCTCCGAACTCCTGAAGTCGGCAGGCATGATTTTTTGGATTGCGTAGCTCAGTCATAAACAGATGGAACACATGCGAAGGATCCTCGGGCGCATTGAGGAAAAGCTGCAATATGTACCCAACGGTACAGAAGTCAATGTACTTTCCGCGGCTGCTGTCACCTTGCCACAAGCACGCGCTTTAGTGTGGCCGTTTTCGCCGACAAAAGTTGAGGAAAAAGTGCGACAAACATCATCATCATCATCATCATCATCATCGTCGTCATCTTCATCATCATCATAGGTGCCCACGTCCGGATACCTTTACATCCAGCGCAACTATCATGTTCAAGACTTCAGTGCTGTGTCGCTGGGACGACAAAAATAAAGGACAGGATAACCCCACATTCGGATTTTTGTGAAAGGGCAAGAGAGGGAGTGAGAGAAAGTGGGCGAAAGGTAAGCGAGCAGAGTGAATGGGTGAGGGTCAGCGCGGCTTGTGAATGCAGATTGCGGGGAGATATCTATGAAACAACCGCATCGTTCAAGCAATACCACACGCGGGCGGGAGGAGGCGCAAAGATGTGGGGAAATACACCAGCCCTTACGAAGTTTTAGGGGCCGCGTCCTTCGAGAGTGTGGGTTGAAAGAGGCAGCCAAGAGGCCGCCGATTCGGTAGCCCACCGAGTCACCGAGCTGCTCGCCTGTGACCAGGAATAGATTAGATGCAAATGGGCACAAAGCATAGTAGAAAAAAAGCTAGCTTGTTCTGACATGCAACAAATAAGCCACTACAGTAGAACGCCACTCTACTACTACTGCTCCTAACGGTCCTCTGTTTCTACGACTGCTGGTACTGCTACACGCCGCACTGCCACGTGCCTGTAAGAGATGGTAAGAGCAAAGCCGAGCAAACCGTGTGCCTAGCTCCGAGGCCACCCGGTGCGCCAAGTTCAGAGCGGCCACACGCCGTGGCTGCGTCCTCGCCGCGTCCAAAAGCAAAGCAAAGAACCTGCTTCACGCGACCCGGGGGGTCGCTTTGCAGGCACCGAAACCATCAGAACCCTAGCATGCAGCGGTCACAGCGATGCGAGCGAAGCTACCTCGCTGTCTTGCCTGCGAAGCGGGTGGAGTCTGGGCTTTCTCGGAAGCGTTCAGGAGGGGATGGCTGCTGTTTCTGTCAAGGCTAGACCGCCTCTTCGAGGATCATCTGAGGCACCTGGACCGGCTGCTTAGTTGACTAAGATAGAGAGAGCTTGCAAGAAGTGGGATTCTCATCTTTGGAGGGCGAAAACCATCTGCCAGGCCGGGCCTGCGTGGACTTGCCGCTGCCCGTCTCGCCGACGAGGCATACGACCAGCGAAGCACCGCAAAGGACGGGCATCACCTGCGCTGACTCGCTGAATGGATCTGAATGGATTCTCTGGTGCAACAGCACTGCCTCGTCCCTCTTCTCCTGGATAGGCAGCACTTTCTTGACCTGGAATTCATTGTCGCATTGACAGCTCTTCCGAAGCAAGAGCTCGCCCGTTTTCACACCGGCTGGCAGGATAACGGATGAACATGCCAAGCCAGCCTGAGATCATGTAATTTGGCAATCTTCGAGAAAACAGTCAGACCCTAGCCCTCCCCCAAATCATCGTAATGGGTTGCGGAGATCGAGCCCCTAATGACTTCGAGATGTGGCCCAAGGATGTCGGCATGCCTCCCCGAGGAGACAAGGAAGAGAACGATGTTCGCGTTACTATGACTATTGCTGGTCTATTCGCACTGGCACTAATTACTAGTATTCGTCTGTGTGTAACAGTGTGCATTAAGTTGCTCAAATCATGGTTGTCGTTCTTATTGCTAGTCTGCTAGTCCTGTCATTCTGTTTTTGTTCCAGTTGCTGCTACTGCTGCTCTACTGCTGCAGATGCTGCGGCTGGTCGTCAGCGTCGCCAGCTGCAACGGTACTGCTGCTGCTACTAGTGCTGCGTCGACGATTCTGACGATGACGACGACTACTCCTCCTGCTGCTCCTCCTGCCGCGGTTGCCACCGCGACGACTGCTGCTCTTACTCTGGCTGTTCTCTGGATTTCTCCATTGCTAATGTCTTTGCTCTGTGGCGATTTTGCTGCTGCGTCTGATAGTGCCCACAAACACTGGTACTGCTTGCAGTATCTCAACCATGAGGCCTGCCCCCAGTTTGTCAGCCCTCACTGCAAAACCATGCGAGCCGCCCTTGCCCCAATGCGCCTGGGGCTCATGGCTCCATTCGTAAGCACGCTTTCTTTCCGCAGCCTCGTGGACATAAGACGAATCTCTGAAAAACAGGGGGTCCCTTCTATGTGCACAAAGGCCGCAAGACCGGGCCTTGTCGGAATACAACCCGCCTTGGCCCTTGCCTCCTTTGTTAGGCCGACTTCGGGGCTCCATACCTGGAGCTTCGAAAAGCCAAAAGCCGCTAGCCAAGAGACCGTAACCCGGAAAACCCCCGAAACATCCGAATGAGCTTGAAAGCTGCAAGAGACGGAGCAGCCCGGAGCACTCGAGGCAGGGCCGCTTCGCCGTAGCTGGGCCGCCTCTTGGGGGTTTTGGGATCCAGGCGTCAGGGTCGGGCCATGATCAATCTGCTGAATCACGAGATTGCATCTGTACGCTGCACCCGCCTGGCTGATGGAGGGCGGTGCACTTGGCTGAGCCTGCGATGGCAACCCACTGCTACAGCCAAACCATTGCGAGGCATCAACGATAGAAAAGAAGCCAACTGTAAACGAATCTACTATAACAAGCACTAGAATATATTAGAGTATCATATATACGATAGTATATAGTATAATATAGACTGTGCTATCTACTACAGTATATACTACAATACGTACTAGAGTCTATACTACAAAGACTGTCCGTCCTTGCTCCCCTCAACCCTAAACCCTAAACCCTAAACCCTAAACCCTAAACCCTAAACCCTAAACCCTAAACCTCATTGAAATTAGCGGCCCGGGCCTCGGGTTCCCTCCAGGGAGACTCTGCGGGCCTCAGCAGGACTTGTCGACTCCTTCGCTCGAAGAACAGGGTTTAGGGTTTAGGG